GGACCTGAGGAAGCCTACCACAGCGGTTGAGCTGACGCCCAATTCTCTACCTATTGGATGAGATCCTAGGGCCTGCCCTTATGGCCGTCCCTCCACAATTAGCGCGACCTATGACTTTGGAAAAGTACAATATTTAAGTACAATAATTTTGTAATTAACCGGATTACTGTAAGAGAAAACTTGATAAAAACTGAAAAGTGATTGCAATTTGTGAATCAGTTACAAAACATAGGGAGTCTTTTCACAATATCGGTTAAAAAGTCCCAAGGAAGGAGAAGTCGCTGGTTTCTCTTCTCATTCGGATGCACTGAAGTCGAAATTCGCGAAGACGTGCAGCTTATCGGCATGAGATCCAACGGCTGTATGGAGCTGTTCGATGGGCATTGTGAACAGATCACGCAGACTCTTAACCTGAACAATCTAGTATTCACTTTGTTCCTACTCTCGGACCACTCATACGTTGTTTGCATTGGTCATAAACAAAACGGCGGTATTGCACCCCCAGCTCCCTCGAGTTGCAACCTGTTCAGGCAATCACGTTCACGTTTGACTCCCAAAATCAGTAAAATAAATTTTCAGACAGCTTAAAGATAAAGAATAAGATCTTGGGGTGTTATTCAATGACGTCTGTGGGATGCGCCCACCCATTCGACTTCCATTCAAAATCGTGGTGGCGTATTGAATGCTTATGGTCCTATACAATGACGTGCGGTGGACAGCAAGTCATTGCCAGTGCCGTCAGTCAAAGCTGTTATCCTCCCAGAGAAGTCTGGTACTAATTTACGACCCGAAGGGATGGATGGCTTGGTTGGCCTAGGCGAATATCGATTCTGGGTTCGAACCCGTGACCAGGCGTGTGTGAAGTGCGCCACTTGCCAATACACCGCCTTACATATAAGAAATATTGAAACTAATTAATAGCACCTTCTGACTGAGCATCATCGATTGAACATCTCCCCTTCCCATTCCGGGCAAATGCTGCGCCATATGACGTAGGAGGATTGCGTTCGGCTTTCGACGTTTATCCGGGCTCTCATTCTGTTCCTCTGGAAGAAAATTAGGTAAAATATTATGAAAATGGGAAGGATATGATCGAAATGACTGGATACCTTCAATTGGCTTCGTGATTTCGTCACCTCTGAGTGACATGGCTTGCTCGGCATCTGGTTCTGGGCGATTCAACTAAAAATAATTTAATACTGACCCGGCCGTCCAGTTTTTTTGAAATTGACCAAAGATACTCTGGCAAGGTCGGTCATTTAAGCAAGTTCCGCGATGGGCTGAGTTCGGGGAATTCCTTAATGGATTAGAATTGGCTGGTGCTCTTCCAGTAATGCAAAAAAGGCTCGTTCATTCTCTTGGAATTGGAGAGTTGATCTGATTCAGGTTTTTACCCTATAACATTCCAAGTCAATCAGTCAGGCCTACTTCTTCTCTACACGCTGCTCAACAATGGCCGTACTAACCGGGTGCAGCAGTGGTCTAGTGGGGAAAGTAGCACCATTGTAGGATAAAAGACTCAATTGGCTACTGAACCGCCTCTACCAAAGCAAGGCTTCTCCTAATAATCTATGATCAGGACAGGGTTGAATAATCGGTCAGCTACTGCCTTACTTTTTACTGATGCTTCTTCCTCCGTCCCTTCGATTCCCTTGAGAGGTCAAACCATTGCAACCAATGTTCGTTTTACCCATTTGACATCAACTCTATAGTGGAAATTTTTCAATTATTCCTGCCTTTACCCGTTCATTTCCATCTATCCATCAAAACTGTATTGCCAAATAGACTTTTTCTCTATTTTTTCCACATTGTATTAGGTTGAGTCGTAAGTCCTCGGACAAAGCGAAAGCTAGAGATCATAACTCGGGAAAGAGGTGACAAAAACGGACACACGTGGCATCGTTAGATAGAGTATGGAAAGCTCTTCAAAATATATATTAGCGAGTACATCTTACCATCTCCTGAGCTTGAACGTGAGGAAAGAAAGTGAAACGTCGGCGCGAAAATCCATGTCATACTCTTCAAAGCATGAGGCACCCATCGACCGAGCTTTCGCACCTTGCCGATTGACTTCAATCCACGAATAACTGTGGACTGAATACCCAAGGGTGACTGCCACTTAACGAGCAGTTTGATACGGATCAGCTTCCACCTG